ATCTGTCTTTTGTCTGCAGGCAGGTCAAGTTCGAAGATGGGCTATATCGGTCCATGATGTCGTATTGCCCTCATATTATGGTTCCCCCCGATATTCGGATCATTTTAGCCACATTTTTCAATGGAATTGTCTGAAAGTTTACACAAGAAGTTTTTTGTGAGTACTTTACTCCCTGGAAGAGAATTACCTATATAGATCCACGTTATCGTATAGCCCCAATATAACGGTACCCCCCTATATTCGGTATTTTTATGATTTCAGCCACACTTTTCAATGGAATTGTCTGAAAATTTATACAAGGAGTTTATCCCCTAGAAGATAATTATCTATATAGGTCCACGATATCATATATCCCCCATATAACGGTATCTTCCGATATTCTGTATTGTGATGATTTCAGCCACATTTTTAATGGAATTGTCTGAAATTCCACACAAAAAGTTCCTTGTGAGTACTTTATCCCTTGGAAGAGAATTGTCTATATTGGTCCACGATATCGTATAGCCCCCATATAACGGTAATCCCCCCCCCCCCCCATATTCGGTATTTTGATTTTTTTAGCCACATTTTTCAATAGAATTTTCTGAAATTCTACACAAGGTGTTATTTGTGAGTACTTTATACCCTGGAAGAAAATTATATACACTGGTGGCCAAAACTAAAGCAACTTAAATCGCAAAGACAATAAATGTCCTGTAACTTTTACAAAAATAAACAAATCGTAATTATTTTTCCAGTTTTAAATGAGGGGTTCAATTCACTTTTAAGAAACTAAAAATAAAAATACAAAAATAATTTTGAACGAAAAATAATATATGGAAAACTAAAATGACCCAATTTTTGCTTGGTCAAAACTAAAGCAACTTTTGATTTTTTATTTTAAAATAATTAAATTTTGGCTAGTAGTCGATAGCATAACCATTATTTTTGATAGCACCTGCACACCTACGAGGCATTGAATCTATAACACGCTCAATTTGATCCTTGGGTGTGCTTTCCCAGGCACCTCGAATTCTTTAGAAAATATTGTGCCTGTTTATTTCCGAATCTCTCTTGATCTTCCTATCTACGATACTCCAAAGGTTTTCTAAGGAGTTTAGGTTTTTTGATACAAGTTTGGGATCATTGTCATGCTGAAACACCCAAATCAGCCGAATATTTTACTCAGCATAAGGGAACAACGTGATGTCCAATACATATTTGTAAACAAAACGATCCACATTTTCCTTTATTTTATGGATAGGCCCAAGTCCATAGAAAGAAAAACAGCGCCACGCCATTTTTGACCCTCCCTCATGCTTCACTGTACCTTTGCAACACTGCGGCTTAAGTCCTTCATTTTTTGTCTTCTCACCGTAAAATTTTTCACGTCTGAGCCTTTAATATTAAACGTATACTCATCCCAGAAATAATGTTTTTCCATTGAGCTTGATTCCACTTAATATTGTCGTTTCCGAAAGTCTTTTTGATTTTTTCAGATATAAATGGTTTTTTGATGTCTTACGGGCATGCAGACCAGCTGCTACTACTCGTCTACGCATTGATCTCGAGCTTATATCCAATGATTGCTCTCTCACCAATCCAGTTGAACTCTTAAATATTTGTTTTTTATTTCTCTCACAATTTGTGGATCAGTACGGGCTGAAGTTTTTCACGGCCTTCATTCGTTATAGACTGTTACTACTGATCCAGTTTCAAAAACCGACTTAGTATACAGAAATAATTATGAAATCACATAAATATTTATGAAATATTTCTCGGAAATCATTTTCTGTGATATGTTGTTTTGATAGTCACTGATATTTTGCTGTTTTATTCAGGTACTGTATTTGCTTTTAGCCATTTTTAATTTTTTTTTGGGCAGTACTTAAAAAACGAAAAGAAAAACACATACTGTTGTAAAAAACTTCTCAAAAAGAATTTATGACAAGCGAAATTGTCGAAGGAAGCAAAAAGCGATAAATATCACAGTAAAAACAACTGAAATTGCAGCGGTTATATGAATGTACAACAGAGTTGCTTTTGTTTTGTCCAAGCCAAAATCGGGTTAATTGACTTTACCAAACATTATTTTTTATAAAAAATGAATTTTGGTTTTATGTTTTAGGTTTTTAAAAAGTGAATAAAGTACCTAATTTAAAACAAGAAAAACTTTCTCATTTTCTTAATTTTTGAAAAAGTTACAGGGCATTTACTCTCCTTGTAATTTCAGTTGCTTTAGTTTTGGCCACCAGTGTATAGGTCCACGATAGCGGCACCTTCCAATATACGGTATTTTTATGATTTTAGCCACACGGAATTGGCTGGCATTGTCTGGAAATTTACGCAAGGAGTTCTTTCTGAGTAGTTTACCCCCTGAAAGAGAATTGTCTATATAGGTCCACAATATCATATATCCCCCATATCGGCCCTCCAATATTCGGTATTTTTAAGATTTTATCAGAATTTTTAATGGATTTTTTTTTTTTTTTTTTTTTTTGAAAATTTCCTAATTAGTCCCAAATGGTGGAGAGTATTCAAGGTTTGGTCCGGCCGAACATACTGTTTTTTTACTTGTTGATATTAGACGTGTAAAATTTTGTAAAGACATATAGTTTAATGACATTCTCAACATTCATTCCAAACCTCAATTTTCAATTTTTTGTTAGTTCCGTCTTTTTGCATTTTAGCTAGCGATATGTTTCATCCGATTTGGTCTTTAAGTCCCTCACATTCATAATATGAATTCGACAAAAATGATATCTGGTACCAGATATCTTATAGGGCTTGGAAATACATTTGCCAAATTTTATAGCGATTGGCTTAGATTTGGATATAGCTCCCATATATATATCGCTCCCGGATATATCCTTAATCAGATTTCCGATTTATTGTGCAAATAATGGCTAATATCAGCCCAAATGGAGTGAATTTCCGGACGTACCTTTCCATTTTGTACGTTGAATTCGACAAAAATGATATCTGGTACCAGATATCTTATAGGGCTTGGAAATACATTTGCCAAATTTTATAGCGATTGGCTTAGATTTGGATATAGCTCCCATATATATATCGCTCCCGGATATATCCTTAATCAGATTTCCGATTTATTGTGCAAATAATGGCTAATATCAGCCCAAATGGAGTGAATTTCCGGACGTACCTTTCCATTTTGTGCAACTCGGCCCCGAATTATATATTTATACCCTCCACGTTGAAAAGGAGGGTATATTAACATTGTCTTTTCGTTTGTAACATCCCACAGATTTGTCTGAAAATTGGTATTTGTAGGTCATAATGTGCCCTAGTTCGTGTGGCGCGACATTGCATGTATAGGTCCACGCTTTGATATAGCCCCCATATAAAGATACCTCCCGATATTCGGTATTTTGATTATTTTTGCCACCTTTTTTTAAAGAATTAGTCTAAAAATTGGTATTTGTTGGTCATAATGGGTTCCAGCTCCGGTGGCGAAACATTGCATGTATAGGTCCACGATTTGGTATAGCCCCCATATAACGGTACCTCCCAATATTCGGTATTTTGATGGTTTTTGCCACATGTTTCACTGATTTGTCTAAAAATTAGTATTTGTAGGTCATAATGGGTCCTAGTTCGTGTGGCGAAACATGGTATGTATAGGTCCACGTTTTGGTATAATCCCCATATAACTGCACCTCCCGATATTCGGTATTTTGATGATTTTTTACACATTTTTTTCACGAAGTTTTCTAAAAATTGGTAGTTGTAGGTCATAATAGGTCCCAGTTCATGTGGCGAATCATTGTAATTAAAGGTCTACGTCCCCATACAACGGTACCTCCCGATATTCGGTATTTTGATGATTTTTGCCACATTTTTTCACGGATTTGTCTGAAAATTGGTATTTGTTGGTCAAAATGGGTTCTAGCACCTTTGACGAAACATTTTAAGTATAGGTCCACGATTTGGTATAGCCCCCATATAACGGTACCTCCCGATATTCGGCATTTTAATGGTTTTTGCCACATTTCTTCGCGGATTTGTCTAAAAATTGGTATTTGTTGGTCTTTATGGGTTCTAGCACTTTTAGCGAAATACTATATGTATAGGTCCACGTTATTGTATAGCCCCATATAGCCGTATTTCCCGATATTTTTATGATTTTTGACACATTTTCCATGAATATGTCTAAAAATTGGTACATGTGGGTCATAATGGGCTCTAATGTTTCCTTTATCCTAAGGTGGAGGGTATTAAAAGTTTGGCCCGGCCGAACTTGATGTTTTTTTTTTTTTACTTGTTTTCATATAACCCTTCTCGAAGTGATATCATGCACTCTATAGCAAACTATAACTGCTCTAAAGCCAAATGTTGATAGGTGGTATGATCTACTTGAAATGAAGTCTTTTGTTACGGGATCTCTATTAACCGACCGATTTTTGATTATTCTTTACTGGTTTTATTTTTGCGTGCTTCAATTCGAGCTTCAAGTTTTTGCGGGGATTCCGTCTGTTTACTTTTCAGAGTTTTCTTGTAACTCAGAAAGAAGCTGCTGGAAAATTCCTTTAGGAAAGAATTGTGTGTAAACGTGCTATTATGCTTGGCACCTGTGCATTTAATCCTTTATCCTCCACTGTTTCTCAAAAAAACGTAAAACGAAAACTAACACATTGTTCATTTACATAACACGGATGACAAAATTGATGGATTTGAATAGGAATTTAATTGGCTAAATTTAATGGAAACATACAACATTTTTTCTCCAAAACCCTTGTGGCATGTTAACTGCAAAAAAGAACAAAAAACTCCTTAACAAAACAAACAAAATCATTTGATGCAGACTAGAGTTGTTTTTTTAATTCTATTCACCAATTAATTCACTAAATTAAATGGAAAATTTTGGTTGTATTTCACACAGAAGACAATTAAGTCAACATGGGTTTTTTAACACAAATGATTTGTGATAGCAATTAAAATGCACGCATATTTTTTTTTATAAAAAATATATTTATTTATTAAATTACAAAAGAGTTAGACAAATACATCATTCCTAGTTTTTTGTGTTTTTGGCCAAAAATTTACATTTGATCTTTGTGGCCATGATGACGACCACGTCCGGAATGCAAAAATTCGTGTAAAACATGTTTGCCAAAAGCCAATGTCTGACTCTTGCTGTAACGTTCACGAATCTTCTGGCAGCGTGGTGTATTGACCTGAGATTCAGCTGGACATCCCGAGACCATTTCACCGAACATACAATGATGCAATTCCATGGGAGCACTACTGCATTTGCCAGCTGGTTTCAAATCCTTGCCCTTCATTTTAGCCAAGCACTTGTCCACATAATCTTCCAAAACATTGTGTTGCACCTCACTGTCCGATGACATGGATTTCTTGAAACTGGCAACGACGGCATCACGTTTGATTTCACCATTTTCGTCCAATAAATCTAGAGTTTTGGCCACACATTCACTTTCGCAAATAATCAAGTCTTTAATCTTGGCCATGTATTCACAGTTGAAGGGATCGAAGTTCTCAACATCGGCTGTAAATAAAAATAAAAAATCAATTATTATTTGTTATTAAATAAAATTATGAAAGTTTTCATATTCTTATGGTTTGTTAAAATGGCATTTCTAATAAAGATCTTCTGAAGACTTCAGTAACATCTCGGAAAAGGTTTCATTTTCATCATTTCGAAATCTAGTTTAAAATCACACAAATACAGCGCACCAATTTTTTTTAGAAAACTGGAAACCCGCATTGTAGTACATTAATAAAATCTGAATGTATTACCCATGGCAGAAGAATACAGGTGGGAGCATTAATATTTCAAAAAAAATATTTTTTTTTTTTTTTTGAAATATAAGTAGATAAGTAGATTTATGTTTTCTTATACTACGTCAGTCGGAGGCTATTATAATTCGCGTTTTTTCTTCAAAAATTTTTACATATTTAAATAATTTTTCATTCAACATTTTCAATTCCAAAATATTCTACTACCATGGTATTACCGAATATTGAGCGAATTCCATCGCCATCGTTGCGACAGTACCATATGGTACCATGGCCCAAATATAAGGTCTTCCTTCGAGCGAATTAATCTAAACAGCTGTTATTTTATCAGATGAAGTGTCAAAATTCATGCTTGCGGCGATAATAAATATTTTTGCCTTTGACACCAGAATTTTGTGGCGAATATGTTGTTGTCAATGTATGTATATCAACTCTGCTACATGGTAGAAGAAAACAGGTAGATGCATCAACGCTTGAGAATATTGATATGTAAAAAATTAATTTTTTTCTCGGAAATAAGTACATTTTTATAAGTTTTCTTATTCGACACCAATCGGAGGTTGTTATGATATGCATTTTTCAAAAATTTTTACAAATTTGAATAATTTTTCACTCAACATTTTCATTTTCAAAATTGGTTTGACAGTTCATTGTCCCAGCAGCTATGCGATGCGACTACCTGAATTCTTCTACAATGGTTTTGAGGTTTGTTTTGGTTGCAGCGAATTTAAATTTAATTAATAGATCATTTGGCAATTAGCTGAATGTGAATAACGCTCTCTCTCTCCCTTTTTGCTTTCAGTAGAGACATAAAAATACTCTTTTAAATAGTGTAAACATTTTACTAGCTTAAGTCATCGGCTGGCTTCTTCGTAAAGGTCATGATAAAATGATACAGGTAGGCGCATCAACTCAGCTGCTGGTGCTGTCAAACCAATATTGGAATTGAAATTTTTGAACGAAAAATATCGAAATTTTGTAAAAATTATTGAAAAACTCATGCCATAACAACCTCCGATTGGCGTCGTTCAAGAAAAGCTTTTAAATTCCATTTATTTTTTGAGGTATTTTTAACAACATTTTGACATATTAATGTTCGCGAATGTTGATGCATCTACCTATATTCTCTTAGGTTGACTTAGTTCGATTTCGGCCCTAGGCTCCTTTGTTCCCTTGCGGAAAAGCCAGCCGGTGACGTAGGTCAGTCAGAGAAGCGTTTTATGAATTCTCACTTTAAAAGGAACGACTGAAGCAATAAGACATATGGAGTATAAAGTCATGTAAAAGGTGAAAGGTGCAGATACAAAGGAGGCTTTTGTTACTGGTTTAAGTCATCGGCTGATTTCTTCGTAAAATGACAAAGGGGCCTAAAGTGAACAAGATGGATGCTCTCATAAACAAACATCAGCTGAGCGGCAATAACTGTGGCCGACAAAAGTCTACAGGGTGAGATGAAAAACTGCAACCAACTTCAGACTGCTGTCATTTCTAAGCCACTCGTCCGACAGCTATTAAAATTATTCCAGTGACAGCTCATTGTATTGTTTTGGTGAGAATTTTCCAGAAAAAAGTTATTCATGATGGAATTCAAGCGTGATAGTGTGATATCTTTATATTTGGCTTGAAAACCACAAGTGGCTATCGTTAGAGCACTCCAGCATTTAAATGTAAATAAATCTTTTGTGTCTCGCATCATCGCTCGTTACCGTGTCACTGGTAGCGTAGCCCGACGTCAAGGAAATGGACGGAAGAAAATAGCATCATCCGCAGAAATGGTTCAAGAAGTAAAGAAGCGACTTGATCGAAACCCGCATCGATGTGGCAGAAAAATGGCTCGGGGGCTGAACATATCGCAATATATTCCATTCGGCAAATATTGAAAAATGATCTCAGGTAAAGCCATTTAAAATCCATTTGGTACAAACTTAACAATTTTCAAAAAAATAAAATCCGTTAAAAATTCTGTTAACATCTTAAAAATACCGAGTGTAGCCGTATGTTAGGATCAATACGACGACTTGGACCTGTATAGGCAACTTTTGGCACAAGCTATTACAATATTCAAATGCGAAACTTGAAAAAAAAATCTGTTTATAATGTAGCTAAAATCTTCAAAATACCGAATATAGGGAGGTACCACGGGGGTTATAAATGAACCTGCACAGACAATTTTCTGTCATAGGATGTAGTATCCATTACGAACTTCAGAAACCAATATTGAAACAATTCCGGTAAATAATGTCACTAAAGTCATCAAAATACCGCATATCGGGAGTTACCGTTATATGGGGGCTATACGATGACGTGGACCTACATGGCCCATTTTCAATACCAAAAGTCCTGCAGACATAATACACATTTGAGTAAAATTTTATCAACCTACTTCATTTCGTTCGGAAGCTAGAGTGATTTCCACAGACGGACGGACATTGATAAATCGACATAGAATGTTATACTGATTATACTAACTTAATATACCCTCCATACTATGGTGGAGGGTATAAAAAAGTGCAAGAATTTACACCGCAACAGAAAGAAAATAGGCTCAAAAGAGCTAAAGAGTTACTTCGCTTGGCCGAAATTCGTTGTCCAGCAGTTTGTAAACAAACACAATGATCGTGTTTACTTGCTAAAGAGGTCAGCTGAAAATGTGCACATTCGGTTGGCCACCGGAACTCAAGCGCCGGCCATGGTGATGGTGTGGGCAGCCATAACAGCCGATGGTCGCTCTGCGCACGTATTAATCGACCGTGGCATCAGGACTCAGCAGCATCGCACTCAGCACGCGCCATCAAAAATGGTTACAAAATGAGGTTCTCGCTTTATTTCCAGCGCACAGTGGCCACCAAAATCTGCGGATACCAATCCGTTGGACTATTGTGTCTGGAGAATTTTGGAAAGTAAGGTTGGCACTAAAAAATACCAAAGTGTCCATCACCTCAAGCAAGCGCTTCGCCGGGAATGGACCAAAATACCGCAGAGCAAAATTCGGGCAGCGTGTGACGGTTTCTTGGTCGTTCGAAGGCCATAATTCGTGCCAGAGGTGACCAATTCGAACACATCTAAACTTATTCTAAAAATTTATGCTAGTTTCGACATTTTTTGTTTTCATTCAATAAAATTTAAAAAAATAAATAAAAATTATGGCATTTGACTTGGTTGCAGTTTTTGCAATTACAGAAAATGCAGAGCTGGGAATGTTAATTTGAAATGAGGTTACCGTAATTTCATTGTACCATGGTTTATTTTCTTTCGATATCGATCGCCTCCAATGACGTTTCGAAGCATTTTTTTAAAAATTTTACAGTTTACTGCAGCACAAATCTAATAAAACTGGATAAATTTGAAGAGACAAATTTGAGCAGAAATGCTTTCCATCGTCGACAGAATATGGAACACAGAAGGTAATCTGTTCGTAATTGGACAAATTTGGACAACTCAGATTACCATCTCGATTCTCTTGAATCTTGAATAATAAATTGAATTTCACGATAATATATTAATGATCAATGTTAATTCTATAGCACAAATATATAAACGCGCGAAATTGTTATTAGGTAATGTATTCTCACTTTTCCCACTGGGAAGCTTAGCAGAAGAGACACATTAGTCTCATTCTCAAAGAAGTACAATAAAACCAAAAGCAGAATGCTACAACGTTAGCCGAAAATATAGCATTAAGATCCGGAAGAGGTGTTCGTCTAAAAACTATCAAAAAAAAAAAAAAAAACTCTGAACAAAGATTTCCTCGGTCAGTCAGTCAGTCGGAAGAAACCTGTAAACTTCCCTTAGGAATTCTGCCAAAAGTACATTGCAAAATGAATGAAAATGTTTTTTGTTTATAGATGAGTTAAAATATAATATATTTGTAGAGTTTTGTCGATCGCTATATATTCTTCTAAGGTTGTATCTAAATACGCAAGATTAACCCACTGGATGAATTAAACTACTGGGTTGATCTTCAATTGTATAAACAATCTAATATGACGGCATTTATTTTAAATCCGGCGCGAAATCTGCATGCGAACAAATATTGCAAATACCTTGCTGTTTTTTTTTTTTTTCGAAACACCCCAGAGTCGCAGGTAAATGGTAGTAAAAAATATTATATCAATTGCCGATCGTTTGAAGAATCCTAAATTTGATTTCTCCTCCATTGTTTTTTTATACCCTACACCACAAGGCGGTCAGGGAATTATGTCTTTGTGCATTTGTTTGTAACAGGCAAAAGGAAACGAGATAGACCCATAGTTCCTTTCTGAGTTGATTTATGCATGTCAGTCCGTCTGTCCGTCCGTCTGTCCATGTATTCTTGTGAACAAAATGCAGGTCGCATTTATTAGCCGATTGGGATGAAATTTTCCAAAAAACATTTGTTTGGCCCAAGGACGAACCCTATTGAAATTGGAGATAATCGGTAAAAATTTAGATATAGCTCCCATATATATCTTCGTCCGATTTGCTTTTCATTGTGCACCAAACGTGTAATATCATCCCGAATAGTATGGAATTTTGCACATACAACCAAATTAGGCCTGATATGGCTATAGCTCCCATATATATTGTTCATCCGATTTGTTAATTTTGTCCTCCGCAGCCGTAATATGCACTCTGTAACAACAATATTTGGGGAAATATATCAAATGCAGCTCAGAAATACCTTTGCTAAATTTTATCGAAATCGGTTCAGATTTGGATATAGCTCCCATATATAACTTCGTCCGATTTACCATTTATTGTGCACCAAACGTCTAATATTTGTCCAAATGGGATGGAATTTGGCACATACGACCGAATTTAGTCTAGAAGGTAGTATGCCAAATTTGGTGAAGATCGGGTCAGATATAGCTATAGCTCCCATATATATTGTTCATCCGATTTGTTGTATTTGTTACCTACAGCCGTAATATGCACTCCGTAACAACGATATTCAGGGAAATATATCAAATACAGCTCAGAAATATCTTTGCCAAATTTTATCGTTCAGATTTGGATATAGCTCCCATATATGATTATTTTTTAACACATTGAACTTCTACTTACGATTGTTGGTTCTCAATTTCATGGCGCATTGTTTCTTGGTTTCACGGATCATTGAGAAATAACTGGGATCATGTTTGTTCGATTCACAGCAAGTCAAATCCTTTTTCATCATCATCATGTGGTTGAACTGGCCATCGCATTCCTTGGATGGCTTCATTTCATCCATTTGTTTCATTTCCTCCATGGGTTTCATTTCGTCCGCGGACTTTTTCTCATCCTTGGCAACTTCGCTAACATCACGACGATGACGGGATAATAAATTCGAATTCAACGATTCATATTCTTGGAATAGGTATTGATCTTTAAAGAAATAAACACAGAACACAATAGGATCCAATTAATATTTCTCCTGTTTTAATATCCTTTTTTTTTTTTGATACACTAATTTTTCATTTTTATTTTCGTATGAGTTCATTCTTTTCCACTTACTAAAATATGTATCCGAAAAATCGTAAGCATTAACCGCTAATAATGCTAAACTTAAAACTGCTATGATTTTAAACATTTTGTTTTTAATTTTGTTTTCCGACACACTTTGATCACTCGCGTCCTAATCTTTAGAATGCCAAAGATTGAATGCTGTAAATTAAGCAAAGTTTTTGAATTTTATAGAGTTGTTAACAAATTTGATTTGTTGTTGTCGCCGTCGTCTTTTGTTGTTATTTCTCTACCACTGTTAAGTGGGTGAGATTCTCAGTTCTGTACCAGTTAGCGAGAGTTTGTTTGAATTTATCATTTGAGGAAGATAACTTTCTTTTAAAAGTGAATACACTCGAGAAAAGAAGTTCGTTGTGAATATGATGTTATGTTTAGGGAGTACATTTATGGTTTATATGAGAGGTCGAAAAACAAGAAAATTGTAATGTCTACTAAATATTTTGTATGCGTTATCGCGCCTCATTTTTGCCTCACCAGTGAATGGTTTTGTTATTTTTTGTATGAATTTTAATTGTTTTGTAATTTGCATTTTTTATTATTAATTTTATTTGTGTAATAAAAAAACGAATAATTATTATAAGAAAATCGAAGCATTTTTTATTATTCTATCGATATTTGAAGACATTAGCAGTAGGATTGCCCAGCGATGTCCGTCTGTCTTACTCTCTGTCCGTCTGTCTGTTGTAATCACGCTCTTTTTCGAACGAATTGAGATAGAAGGCTAAAATTTTGCATACATGCATAGTTTACCAGTAAGCAGGTTAAATTCATAAATGGACCATTTTTTCGTATTGCTCCAATATAACGGCACCTCCCGATATTCGGTTTTTTCATGATTTTAGCGACATTATTTACCGGAATTACAAAAAATTTCGTATTTGAAGTTCGTAATGGGTACTACAGCCTATATAAAACGTTTTTGTATGCAGGTCCAATTCTTCGTATAGCCTCCATTTAACGGTACCTTCCGATATTCGATATTTTAATGATTTCAGCAACATTATTCACCGGAATGGGTACTACTACCTATGACAAAAAATTTTGTATGCAGGGTCCGATCTTCGTATAGCCACCATATAACGGTACCTTCCGATATTCCGTATTTTCATGATTTCAGCAACACTATTCACCGGCGGCGTTTCAAATTTCGTACTAGAAGATAACAATGGGTACTATAGCCTATGTCCATTTTTTTGTATGCAGGTTCAGGTCTTCGTATAGCCCGCTCCTGATAGTCGGCATTTTGACGATTTCAGCAATATTATTCACCGGAATCGTTTCACATTTCGTATTGAAAGATCTTAATGGGTACTACAACTTATGACAGGTCCACATCTTCGTATAGCCTCCATATGACGGTAACTCCCGATACTCCGTATTTTCATGATTTTTGCGACATTATTCACCGTAACTGTAACAAATTTTATATAATTGAAGTTCGCAACGGGCACTACAGCCTATGACAGAAAATTTCGTATTCAGGTCCACGTCTTCCTATAGTCCCCTTATATCGGTTTACAGTTAAGTGGTAGTTTTCGGATTTTTTTTTTTTGAAAATTTTCTTTCGGCCCGGCCGCTGATGCTTTTTTACTTGTTTTAATTTACCGACAAATATCGGCAAAATTAAAAGTCTTTATTATGAATGAAAAATCCAAATTAAAGATGGCAGCACTGCCGCTATCGGCAGGACCTAACGACTACTCTAATTTGTTTGCTAAATTGCCGAAAAAATTCGTGAATTGGCAAAATTATAAGCATTTTCATTTCACCGATTTTTGTCGGTAATTCAAAAAAACAGTTAGAGAATTGAATATTAGGGTGGTAAAGTTGTGTCCAAAATATTTATCTTGCCATACAGATCTTAACAAACAAGGTGTCGTAAAGGTGGGAACACATAGATCCAGTTTTTTTTTACTAGCTCAAGTCATCGGCTGGCTTTTTCACACAAAGGAGCGGAGGATGAACAAGTATAAATTATGGCCCAAAATCGAAGAAAGTCAACCTAAAATCCCATTGTTCTTTTACGAAGAATCCAGCCGATAACTTAAGTCAGTAAAAAAACCTTCTATGTTTTTGCACCTTTATCCCTGATACCAATATCGTAAATAAGGTCTCTTCATGGTACAAACCACGTGGTCGACTCAACAGCAGAGGAAAGGCGTCTGGAAGGCCCTTGAAAACAGACTGAAATTCTCTCCCGAGGACATAATGGTCAGACGAAGCTTGACTGGAGATCAGTCTATGGTAAGCCGAAAAAACGAAAGTAAAGTAAAAAGAAAGCAATCAAGAACATCGATCGATTTAATAATAATGAGTGAACATAGAATGGGTCGCGCTACAAAAAAAAAATCAAAACTTTGGTGTGCTGTTGTGGACCTTTGATATTACGTGAAAATTTTAAATTCAAATTGAATCCAAATGCCGTAGTTGAATATAATTATTTTTAACATTAAAAGTTAATTAATATTAAAAGTAAAAAAGAAATAAAATAAAAGGTTAGAAGTCTCTGAATTTAATCGGATTCAAAGTGCCGTCGTTGGCCCTTGAGCCCAAGTGCCGATGTTAAAGGAAAGGGTGGAAATACATACAGCGCATATTTGACAGGCTTAATTCATCGGCTGGCTTCTTCGTAGATGAACAAAGGAGTTTTAGGTTGACTTAGTTCGATTTTGGGCCCAGGCTCCTTTGTTCATTTCCGAAGAAGCCAGCCAATTACTTAAGCCAGTCAGATAAGCGCTTTATGTATTCCCACCTTAAGGGTAGATAAAAAGTTTTTTGACTGGCTTAAGTCATCGTCTGGCTTCTTCTTAAAAGAACAAAGGAGTTTTAGGTTAACTTAGTTCGATTTTGACCCTACGCTGCTTTGTTTTTTTTTTACGAATAAGCTTACGATTACTTAAGCCATCCGTTTTGTTTATTCCCTCTTTAGAAATGGAAAAATTGAAGTTGAAACAGAATTCACTTGAAATTGAAAGGGAGAGAGTTAATTTTGAAATGAGAATCAAAGTGGCGGATCTTTGATACTAAAAGCGAGAAAGTTTTAAATTCAAAGCGAATCAAAGAACCGTCGTTTGCCTTTGATCCTAAAAGTAATAAAAAAAGAATCGCAGCTGGATTAAAGTGGCATCGGGGGCTTTGATATTGAGAATTAAAAAAAATAATTTTGTTCTAATCTTAGTACCTTTATGGGCTTCGATATTAGCAGTGAGAAAACGAACACGTTTTTAGCCAAATCAAAGAGTCAACGTGGGCATTCAAGCACTGAAGTGATAAAATTTAAACATATGTCGTATTTGGTATAAAAGTTTTAAAAAATACGAAACTACCTCCTGATAAAGCGCCGTCGTGGACCTCCAAGAATAAAAAGTAGATCTGTACGAACTAAAATCTTACGTAGGCATTGTTTATCATAAGCCATTACCATATTCAAATTCGAAACTTGAAATATACGGTGAATAATGTAGCTAAAATCATCAAAATATCGTACAGAGGGAGGTACCGTTATATCGGAGCTGTGCGAAGACCTGGACCAGCATAGACAATTTTCTGTCACAGGCTGTAGCATCCATTACGAACTTGAAATATGAAATCTCAAACAATTTCGGTGGGTTTTGTACCTAAACTCGTCAAAATATTGAATATAGGCAGGAACTGATATATGGGGCCTATACGAAGACCTGGACCTGCATAGACAATTTTCTGTCACAGACTGTAGTTTCCATTACGAATTTCAAATACCAAATTTGAAACAATTCCGGTTAATAATGTCGCTAAGATCATCAAAATACCGAATATAGGGAGGTACCGTTATATGGGGGCTATATGAAAACGTGGACCTGCATGGCTCATTTACGAAATTAACCTGCCTACTGGAAAAATAAACATGTGTGCAAAATTTTAGCCTTTTATCTCAATTTGTTCGAAAGATAGCGTGATTACAACAGACAGACGGACATCGCTAAATCGACTTAGAATTTTACGCTGATCAAGAATATATATACTTTGTTGGGTCTGACATGTGTATTTCTAGGAGTTACAAACAGAATGACAAAGTTAATATACCCTCCATAGTTTGGTGGAGGCTATAAAAGTAGAAGCCGTCGAGGGCCTTAAGCTGTCGTACATTTCCTCTCACCGGGCCCCGCCGAAGTATTTCCCCGTACGAGCTCAACCCACATGACCCAGCAGTGAAGCAGACTTTGTGGAAGCAGTAAGCCACTAGAGCAGCAAGATGTGCCAGCCTACAACCGCAATTAATATACGTATATTACTTGAACTCGTATCTTGTGAATTTAAATTTCTATAAAGCGGTACACTGCGAACTTCTAAACGAAAACCTACCTATTTCACTCTCAGTAACTTCAATATACATTTCTATGATGAACCCTCCCATCGCGAGCATATCCCACCAATTATTGAAATTTGTAAAAAAAATAGAAAAATACATATAACAACTTCCGATTTGCATAGTATGAGAAATCATTTAAAAATCTTCCTATTTTTGACAAAACATTGCAAAGTTTTTGACATGTCAATAATCCCAAGCGTTGATGCATCTACCTATATTCTTCTACCATGAACCAACCAGAGAAATCTCGTCCTTACAGTTTATATGCCACGTCGAACTAATAGCGTGTTTACATACAACATAATTATTTTATTTTATTTATTTATTATTTTTTTTTTTTTTTTTTTTTTTTTTTTTTTGGCCAAATCATCAAATGTCTGTGTCTACTTCAACTAGATTATTCGTACTAGCTCTGCACAAATATAATTTATGTTATTACCAACCACTTTCTTTGAGTTTAAAACCAAAAAAAAAAAACATTGTTTAACAAACACTACATTTTGCAAAAAATTCTCAAAATTTCTGTTTATTTAGCATTCATTTGTTACACATTCAATTTGCACGCCTTTCTCTCTCCAGAAGTATCTGCATCATTTTGGAAATTTGTTACGTTTTTTTTTTGTCTTTATTAAAATCGACAAATTTCTTATTAATAAATTTTCGTTTAAATTATTTGCTGTTATATTATTTATTTATGTGGACATTTGTTATTGATATTTGTTTGAAACATTGGCTTTGGCAACTTTTTGGATTTTTGCTTGACGGCATTTTCTCCGCATCATTTATCAAATTTTTGTTGTATTTTTGT